AATAATTTTATGCGGTTCATCTGTTTTAATTTAGACGAAGAGTTGTATTCAGTGATTAAACAACCGTTAACAAATATCAAAATCATTCGTTCCGATAAGGTAGAAGAAGAACGAGTACATTTGAATCCCTTAGAACTCCTCCTATACCATAAAATAGATCTTTCTACAGCATGACGATAGTTTAGAGCGGGGAGGTTATTGCATGAAGAGAAAGAGTGGAGTTTAATGACAATTTAGTGCAGAGCTAATTTAGAGGTTATGGTTGGATATAGCTATCACTCAACAACCAACAACTTGATTCCCCGACACACAGATGGGGCTTTATAATATCCCACCTTCTTTCCTAACCTTATCCACCCCTAACCCTATTCATTTTTCGGCTCTAATGAACTCCAACTCTCACGAGCAACGTGTGCTCAAAGGCTGCAATTTCCTTTCTTTTCCTACCGAGACTATTGAGTATTATGGACGAGAGATAACCTAAGATATTGAATTTGAATTTCAAATTAGGTATGTGTTATTTTCTGGAAAATAGTTAATTAAAGGGTTGGATTGAGCTGGAAGTTACGGTTATAAAATAATTATTATTGTTTGTTGATACAAGATGTAATGTATTTGTGAATTATGAGAGTATGTTTTATTTTTTAAAATTACATAATAGGATTATTTTATAGTGGTGTAATTTATTTTACAATTTTTATAATTATTAGAATTTATATTGCATAGACGAATCTTGTAGGGATACTGAAAGACTGTTTTGGATAAACCAAGTTTTGGGATATATATATGATTTTTGGATATGAGTAAATTCTATGTATTTTTGTGTTCATTGTGATTTATATGTTTATAATGGATTTTTGTTCTCTCATTTGTAGTGGTAGACAAGGAAAAACCATTTTAAATCTTATCTCTTATGACTATCTTAAGTAATTTATAATTGATTTATATGTTTATAATGGATTTTTGTTCTCTCATTTGTAGTGGTAGACAAGGAAAAACCATTTTAAATCTTATCTCTTATGACTATCTTAAGTAATAATTTATAATTTGGTCCTTAAATATGATGATTTTGCAAATTAGGACATTTTTGAAGTCCAATTTAGTTAAAAGTTTGCATAATGCTTTTATGGATGTACTTAGATTATTTGGTGCAGTTAAATTAAATTTTCAAGCATGCTTTAGCTGTTTAATGTGAAATGATGTATTTACTCTTACATAGATGATTAGTTATTCTTCTTAATTTTCAAACTCGACCCTGGTTTGCAACTTCTTTGTTGGTCACATATGCTTCTGTTGTATGAATAATATTGTATGTTATAAACAAGTTTTTTATTTAATCGTGTTTTCAATAAATCCCTAAATCATAAATTCGTATACGAGTTATTCTGATGACTAATATGGCATTTCATATTTGGGTCGGATCATCCCGATCAAATATAGAGTGTTACATGTCTAAATTTTATTAAAGCTAACTTATGAACTATTAACTAAACCTTAGGAACAATGGGATTAAATTGAGTGAAATTTAGAATCTTGGGGCTAAAATCTAAAGTCTAAAGCATAGAATTGGACATAATTGAAGACTCCGACAAAGCGACAAGCTAAAGAATAATTTCCCCAAAAATTCCCTGATGGTGCGGGTCTAAGGTAAGTATTCGGGTCGAGTTGGTTCAAAATTCAGACAAAATACTATATCTTCAGTGTATGACATGATTGTGCTTGCAGTATTTACGGGTCAAATTGGGTTTAAGACCAAATGAAACTGTTTTGCTTGTAATAGCTCAGTTCAAGTCCAATGAGGGCAAAGTTTGACCCAATCTATCTTAAATCAAATGCATAGGCAGTATAGATGATTAGATGTAAATTTGTTTAAGCATAGGGCTATTTATTTTCGAAACTTTGTTCAAAATTTCAGAGGCTTTGAATAAACTAGACTAAAAGATATGTTCGTATAAAAATTATCATTAAATTATTAAAATAATTTCGTTCAAATTATTAATAATTAATTATTAACAAAAAATTTAAAAATTATATTTCGATCATTTATATGTTATCGATTTTTTATAATTTAATCACTAACTCTTATAATTTTAATAATATAACGTGTTGATATAATGATTAATTTATAATTTAATCTTTAAAATTTTAGAAAAAAATTAATTTGATTCGTGAACCCTCTTAAATTCTCTTTTAACTCATTATCCCGTTTATTGTCGACGCCGCTACGGCCAACACTTCTTCGATTAGTGATGACACCTAACCAAAGTTTTAACTTCTCTTTCTTTAAACGGGTTTTATTTCCTTAAACTGCAATCGGGGGAAAAAAGGATACGGTCGGAAACCTGCATTTGCATATGCAACACGTGGCATTAAACATACATGTATGCATATGAAAATGAGTGAATATGGTCGGTGGGGAAGAAGAATTGCATACATAAATCCAGGTTGGTGCAGCTGGAGCGTATTTAAATTATAATATTTGATATTATGGTCACCCAGCACCGAACGTACAATACAGCACATCCCATGCTATATCTGCCTCCCCAATCCATGATTTAGTATGAAAAAAAAACAAATAGGAAACCGTGTTGCCAGCTTCATCCCAAATTTACATATCTGAAAGTAAAGATTCAGAGGTGGTTGAATTGGATCAGCAGTGAAGTCTTTACTTCTGACCAACCTAATTCCTTTTCTTCTCCGCATTCTGGTATTCGTTTCAAAGTATGAGAGATGACTTTCTTGTGTCGCACATCACCACATTCAATTCAAAGCAGCCTTAAAATTATACAATATCTAACTTACTTACCACTAAACTTGACCATTTATATATATATATATATTTACCTAATATATTTTATGTCGTAGTCGTATTTTCTTTACTTCTATTATACAATCATATTATTACTCCTTACCTACCACAGGCACACACCATTCACACGATACTATCTATGATGTCGTGTTTTTTAAAACCACTCCAACATTTTTGCTGGTCATTTATAATTTGTATTGCGTTTATGTGTTGTTACGCATGGTTTGTGCGTTTACATTTATTATTTTTGTTACGTAATTAAATAAGATAATAAAATTCATCAAATAGTCTTAGTGATTAAAGACATTATTTTTTTAAGATCTTGAATTTAAGTAATTGTGTTTGTAGCGTATATGCTCATTGTAAAATGTTGATAAAGATTCTAAATAAACCTTACCTTATAATCACCGTATATTATTAAAAAAATAATAAGATAATAATAAAAATTATTGAAAGAGAATAAAGAAAAACCAAATAAATACACCTTAAGATAAAATGAGAAATCACATAGTTGAAGAAAAAGGCCAAGGTATGAGCATGCCAAATGTAAATAGTATTTTAAAATTGGGATGAGGTTGAACTAAAGGATTGGTAGAATCGGTGGGTTTGACCAACACAATCTGTCTCTTTTTATTTAGACAAAAAAAAAAATGATTCTGACACCAACGCATTTCTCTGGAAATATGTAGATTTAGATAGACTTTTTTCCTTTATCTATATTATGTTTTATTCCAACTAATTAGGGTTTTGATAAAATATTTCCTAATTTAGATCGGAATTAAATATTTGATAATAAACTTTTGTTTACATTTTATGTTAAAATATAAAATTATTAATAAAATATTTTAAGTCTTTATATCAACTCATTTAGTGCCTTGGTAGTAAAATGAAATATTATTCTTTTTAGAGGACACAAAATTAAACAATTGTGTCTTCGTGATATGTGAACGTTATCGAACATTAAGAAAAATTTTGAACATATATTACCTTATGCCCATTTCATATTCTTTTTTCTTATAGGGTGAGGAAAAAAAAGGAGATATTATTTAAATGTATCTAGATAGAATATTGACCAGGAGAGATTAGAGATGATAAAATTCAAAATAATATTTTTAAAATATTAAATTAAAACGGATTCAATTTTATTTTACTTTTTTAAGAGAGAGCAAAACCTCTTATATAATGTATCTAGACTGAATATTGACCAAGAGAGTATAGGAATTAGTAAAAGTCAAAATCAAAATTTTGAAAACATTAAATTTTATTTTATTTTTCAAAGAAAGAGGGCAAAGCCTCCTGTTTAATGAATCTAGATGAAATATTGATCGAGAGAAATTGGAAATGGTAAATGAAAAATAACATTTTAAAATCATAAATTAAAAGATAAAGTACACAAATAGTCCCTGACTATAGGACATTGCTCTGTTGAGTACTCCGACTATTAGAAGTTATAAAATGATCCATTGACTATATGATGTTGTTTTGTTGAGTCCCTCGACTATTAAAAGTTATGAAATGGTCATATGACTATTCATATGTTCAAAACTCATCCTTTTTGTTAAAAAAAATTTGCAATCATCTAAGCTGGATGTTAACCTGTTGACTAGAATATGATAAAATCATATTTTAATGATGTCTACTAACACTGTCGTTGCTTTCAAACACTGGTTTGACGACATAATGTTTCAAGCATTGGCTCGACGACATAATATAAACAAAGTGTCGATCCGTAAAATACAACTTAAACAGTTCTAAGATCATATTTTATCATATCTTCGTCGACAAGTTAATGTCTATCTCAAACGACAACTAATTTTTCAATAGGAAATGATGAGTTTGGAACATACGAATAGTCGGGTGACTATTTTGTAACTTTTAATAGTATGGGGACTCAATGAAATAATTCCTTATAATTTGGTGACCATTTTATAACTTTTAATAGTTAGGACACTTGACTAAGCAGTATCCTATAGTCAAGAGGACCATTTCTGTATTTTACCCTAAACTAAAATGCATCTGGATGGAATGTTGACCAATAGGAAATGGAAAACCAAAACATTGGTGGTTTATGGGGTAGGTATGATAATTGCAACTATAATAGGTCAAGTCCATTACCAACCCAAGTTATAAATGCCCAACTAAAATGCCAAACCCTATTGGCTTATTATTTCTTAAAACAACTTCTATTGCCAGCACCAACCAGGCTTCTGTGTCTTTCTCTTCCTGGAAGATCTAACCAAAGACACGGAGAACTCTGCAAAGAAATACCAAAAAAAAACATGGGTTTCGGAAAAGGAATGTCATTGTTGGAAGATTTGATAGAAAAAGCTGGAGGTTGTGCTGTAATGGATGGGGGTTTCGCTACCCAACTTGAGAGTCATGGTGCTTCCATTAATGACCCACTTTGGAGCGCTCTTTGCTTGATCAAAGACCCTCACCTTATCAAGCGGGTACCTTTATGCCATTTTTTTCTCATTTTATTTATCTATTAGCTTTGATGGGAATATGTACATTGGTATTTTATAATATCTGAAACCTGGTTTTAGATTTTTAATCAATGTGGACTCTTGAAATGTACAGGTTCATCTGGAGTATCTGGAGGCTGGTGCAGATATCTTGGTTACTTCATCTTATCAGGTCTGTTAACTACTAGTTTTTTTCCTCTCAGATTGATCCAAATGATTTGATTTGTTAGGCTAATGTCTGATCTGTCTTGCATCTATTTCTCGTATTGATCTGGTGAAAAGATTAGATTTTGATTTTAATAGTTAATGAACAAAATGTTCTTGTGAAACAAAGTGTCCTTATTCTGTTATATTTCATAAGTTATATATATCTCATAGTTGTCTTTACTTTATATTTCCAGGCCACTATTCCTGGATTTCTTTCCAGGGGATTGTCCTTTGAAGAAGCAGAGACATTGCTAAAGAAGAGTATCAAATTGGCCGTGGAAGCTCGTGATAAATTCTGGGACGGTACACGAAACGTTCCTGGGAATCGCTATAACCGAGCTTTGGTAGCAGCCTCGATCGGAAGTTATGGAGCATATCTGGCTGACGGTTCCGAATACAGGTTGGGGAAATTTTTGCAACATAAAAAACATTAGATATCAGTCACGTTTCATTTGCTTAACATGATATCATTATCTGCATGGGCTCTGTCTTTTCCTTCAGTGGGTGTTATGGACCTGATGTAAGTCTGGATATGCTGAAAGATTTTCACCGGCGCAGACTGCGAGTTCTCGTCGAAGCAGGTCCAGATTTGCTAGCCTTTGAGACCATTCCGAATAAACTCGAAGCTCAGGTTTGTTCTTCCTCGTATTTAATTCGTTATGTATCGTATATACCAAACGGAGAATCTATCTTCAATTCACAATTTGTTTAACGACAGTGCGGTTAGTGAATGCATTTTAACTTTAATCATCATGGATCAAATCTATTTTAAGACCATCAGGAGAAAACATACAAACTGCAGGCCAGCGTGACAGCTTTTTATGTCCAATTGCAGGCCTGTGTTGAGTTGCTGGAGGAAGAAAACATTCAAATCCCATCGTGGATCTGCTTCAGTTCGGTCGATGGCGAGAATGCCCCATCCGGAGAGAGTTTCAAGGAGTGCTTCGATGTATTAAACAAGAGCACAAAAGTAAATGCAATTGGAATAAATTGTGCACCTCCCCATTTCATTGAAAGCCTTCTCTGCAAATTTAAGGAGGTAAATTCCTTTGAGCAACATAACATATATGTAATGTAATAAACCATTGATTCTAATCAGAACTGCACGATATTCCAGTTGACTACCAAGGCCATCGTCGTTTATCCAAATAGTGGGGACATATGGGACGGCAGAGCTAAGAAATGGAAGGTAAGTTATGACTGTATGACTTGGTTTAACAATCACTCTGCAATTAGTTAAACCAAAAAAAAAAAATTGTCGCATCCACCTCTAATGGACTGTCTTCTTTGATTAAACAGCCATCAAAGTGCTTCAGTGATGACACATTCGAGGTAGTTGCACCGAGATGGCGTGACCTTGGAGCTAAAGTTATTGGGGGCTGCTGTCGAACAACACCATCCACGATTCGAGCCATATCAAAGGCTCTGAAAGAAACATCTTAGCGAGTTAAGAAGGGTCATTGAAACCATAGTTCACGATACATTCAGCTGTTGCGGTTTTATAAATTAAACGTTGTTGCCAGTAATATCAATTTTTTTGTTCCTTTCTTTATAATTTATTGTTTCTAAGCAGATGATCTATACGTCTTCGTTCGTTCGAATCACAATCCTTTGAAGAAATCTCTCTAGTGGTAACAAAGTCTTGGGATGAAGTAAAAAAGGAATTGCCAATGTGTTTGGTCCTTATTGCAGTAGCTGATCTGTTATCACAGAAGGCTTAATTTTGATAATCGTTCTTTCCTTTAACCCAAAATAAACTCATTTAAATTCGATAATGATCAAATCCTTCTATATCCTTAAAATTAGGTCATCATCCCCTCTACATGGTAGAATCTTCCATTACTTAAATCCGATATTCACCTTTAACTCTGGACCCAAAACTAAAAATCTTAAGAGATATGTGTTATCATCTAATTTCTTAATTTTATTATTTATAATAAAATTTCTTTTAATTAGATAGTGGCATATGATTCTTGTCACTAATGGTATATGTCATTATCTGAATAAATGATTAAATTAACATTAAGAGTGTATTATAGAATGTATAAGCAATGATGATCAAATATATAATTATATCAATTTCATTAACGATCATGTCAGCTCATTTATCAAATATTAATAAATGATTTGATTACATCATTTAAATAGTTAAATGATTTGATTACATCATTTAAATAGTTAAATGATATGATTGATAAAATTAAAAAAAACCAATGGTTAAATTAAAATCTTTTTAAATTAAGTGATATGAATGCACAAAGCTATTAACCTTGGGGTCGTGGGATCGAGTCCCACAGTGGGCAATTCATAATTCGGAGGTCTCCACGAAAGCTGCTGTCAACCTGGTATTGGGGGCAGTCTACTATACTACCTCTCCCTTACCCCATTACATATGGGAATAAGGGTAAGCTAATTTAATGCAATTTACCTTTTTAATTTTAATTATATAACATCTATAATTTTACGCAACCTCAATGCATCCTTCTTTATTCACCAACTTTTCTTCTTTTCCTTGAGATTTGAATTTATGATTGATGGAGTAGGGTTGCACTTGCACCCCAATTAAGGGCAATGAGCAAGCAAGCGACTTCAATCCTCTCCATTTACTGACGTACTGGTTTTGAACCTGTCCTTTTTCAACATGCGACAAACAATAAATAAAACCAGGTATTAGGTAACTCCCAATCCCAAACACCAAGACCCGGTGCATGAGGAGCACCTGTCCCAAAATCTATTCCTACAAATCTACGTGGACCAATCCCACTGACTTGGAACCCTGTGGTGCCCACAGCTGAAACACTTCATAAATACATATTCTTTATTGTTTATACAAAAATATTCGTGAAACATTTTTATTTTTAATTAATTAATGCTCAATGTTGGTAAATATATATTGGAATTTGGAACACACACGAAGAGAATCCAAATCTAATTATGTCCCAAGATCCAAGTATTAATCATCGAATGAGAAATATTTTTCCTGTTGCAAAAGTTGGATGATTAGATGTTGATTAAGCACAAGTTAGAAGAAGCACATTTTCTTTTTCACCAAACAGAACACAAAAAGGAAATTGAGTACTTGAACATTAACTATTATATATGACGAGGTGAAAGTAGAGAGTTGATAGTTTTATAGCCTACAAAATTTCTTCTATCTTTAATGGAAGAAGCAACAAAGGGGAGATTCACTTTGGTAATGCCTCAGGAACCAGCGCAAGAGTGAGTTGTAAGCCAACATTACTGCTACTAAGACTCTTTTTGGACAAGATGCTGTCACCATTGCCGAGTTGGCTCATCCACGTGTCAGAGTTGGGCGAGTCAAGTATCTGTCTCTTGGATCGCTTAAAACGAGCTCGGGACCGGGTCTTAACCTTGTCGATGTCTGCCGGCTTGGTGTCCTTGGAGACATGGCGGATGTCGTAGGTTTTGAGAGGATAAATGGGTTGCTCTTCTTCAAGTGATTCTAAAGAACAAGTTTGGGTTATCGTCGAGCCTTTGAGAACTGCCTCAACGGCAGCTTGGCATTCAGCCCAGTTGCCGGACCAGAGCATGCCGATTGAGCCATAAACCGGATTCACTACACGCCCACAGGCCTCATATAAAAGTGACCTAAAGATGTCTACAAATGCAAAAACTAAAGGAATTATACATTTCAGTTTCATAAATGGGGATATTAATTAAAATAATTACCTGGGCGATGTTCTTGAGGGCCGGCTTCAATTAGATTGAGGAGACCAGCACGGCCATAGAACTTGGCGAGGAAGAGAGTGGCATTGGCCTGAGAATCAGAGGAGTGAATCCATTGAAGACAAGGTCTAATGGAGCAGCTTTCGCTGCATCCCTTACGCAGAACCCTGCAGCCATTGCAGCTCATCCTCATGCTAAGAGAGATTGAGGGAGAGGAAGAAGGAGGAGAGATTGAGGGAGAGGAAGAAGGAGATTGGAGAAGATTAAGGTTTGGTATATATAACAGTAACGCAGGGGTTTGTAATTTCTAAAGGAGTTGAAGTAAAAGACCTGAAAACCGGGGTTATGTAATGAGTGTTTTCTTTCATTTGCCTTGCTTTTCTTGTTTGCGGACTGCCCCTCTTTGGAAAATGAGACTCTTCTTTTGGTGCTTTCCTTCTATTGCAAACAACCCTACATGCACCATCTTATTACCAATCCTACCAACCCTTTTAACTCCAATTTTTTTTAAAGAATTTACAACATGTTCTTGTAGCGTTTATACGGTAAAATTGCTTGAATAATGGAGCGAATAAAAAATATTTGTTCATAACAAGTATAGTTGAAATTATTTTTTGAATTAGGATAATTGTTATAGAATTTGATGGAAATAGTTAAGATATACGGTGACTTATGAAAGTTGTTAGACCACAACGATTTTTCACACAGGTGATGCATAGGAATATGATTTTGGATAGAGATCGTACTGTGATTTTGACGATTTTCATTGATTATCGTAGCAAAAATTTTAGTTTAGGAAATACTTATTATTAATTTGATGTAATTATAAAATAATATATATTTAAAAGACTCTCAATTATTTAACATTTGACAATGAACGTTCAAACACTCTAATAGTTAAGGGATGATTGTTATCTTTAGAGGTCCCAAGTTGGAGAACGATATCCATAAAGGTGTTTGAACGTTCGTTATCAAATGCTTAAGTCTTTCAAACATATATTATATTATAATCACTTCTTAAACTAATAAAAATATCATAAAATAATTTATTCTACATTTTATATGGGTCTTTTTTTCTTTGATTCCATTATTCAAATAAAATTGAATGTTTATATGGTTTAAACCCACTATAATTAGTTATACTGCACACACACATATAAGCTTATTTAATCATTTTATTATAGAAAGAAACATTTTGATTTGAATTTAAAATTTTAAAATTATAGTTATTTCATTTAATTATTTTAATTTAATTAATCCTTAGGTTTTTATCCGTCTTAAAATTAAACAAATCAATTTCTTGTAAAAATAAAATAGAGTAATTTAATCCATGGGTAAAGTTGAATTATAATTATTTTATTATTTTACTAGTTTCTAAGTTTACCATTTTAAGAATAATTAAATCTTGATTTTATCATTTTAAAGGAGGCCAAAAAAAAACAATTTTAATTACTATGTACTAAGTTGTAATTTGATACTTTTTAAAGAGCCTACTTCATAATTTAGCCTCATCAATCCGTAGATTCGTCTCTCTCTCTCTCTCTATATATATATATATAGTAAATCATAAAGATAATAATTATTAATTTATATAATAGTACTACATTTTCTTTTAAAAAATTATTTATTAATAATGTATTATAATATAATTCATTAACCATGCGTAAAATTTATACACTTAACTGTAAAAAAAAACTTTTACCACACTGTTTCTGACTTTGCACAATTCTTTTGATGAAAGAATAGTTAACCTTGAGAATATGTTTTCTAATTTTCTAAATAAAGGTGTAAATGACAATGCTTTAATTTTATTATAAGTGCAGTCATAATTACAATATAACTTTGGTTATGAATTTAAAAAAACACACATATAATTAAATTTAAATCAAAATAAATTTAAATTCTTAATATTATCATTAATTCCGGATGTCATTCACAAGTCTTATAATATTTTAAATGAGAAAATCAAATAAAAATCTTAACTTTTAATAACTTGTAATTAAATGAGCTCTGATCTTTTATTCATCTTTTTCTCAATAATATATTTTATTTATAATAGAAAAAATCCTATTATAAGTCTCATTAAAAATTTCTCTAACCGAGTGTTACACAACAATAAAGGGGGTATTACACCACTATTGCAAAATGAAATTTAGGCGAAGATCAACCCTAGAAAAAAAAAACAGCAAAAAGCATTACAGAAACAAATCTCCAACCAACACAACAAGACAAACCTGACTATCACCATGTTTTAAAAAACTCAAACTTATTCATGTCTTTTTTTTCTCGAGATGATCGACCATTCCGTTATGGGATCTTAAGAGTAGATAAACTGAATGGATGATTATTCTCTCGACAAAATGTTAATCTCATCCCAGGGTTTCAAATCGCGATCGCGGTCGTGTTTTCGGTTATTTCAGATTTACCGTGATTGCGACCGTCGCGGACGCTATTGCAGCCGTCGCGGGTAACTCGGACGGCAACGAAACCGCTATATCGCGGTCGCGAACCATTTTTTAAAACCCTGTCTCATCCTAAAATATACTTTAAAATAAATCAATATTTTGTGAATTATTTTTAATACTAGAAAAAAAGTTTATTAAAAATGTAATAAGTACTTAAATAGAATAATAAAATATATATTTTTAATATTTTAAGCAAAGGAAAACGTAAAGGGGACAGCATTCGAGAGGTGGAAGCCATGCAAGCAAGCAAGAGTGAACGGAGTAGCAGAAAATCCGCAACAGATGCACGAGCCCTTTCATCTTAGAATTGCGTGCTTCTCTCCCCCAACCCTGATTAAATGTCGAGATAATTATTCGGGTCATCACTTTTGTTTTTGGTTTATCTTATTTTTGGCTATTGATTTCTAAAAAAAAATAATTTGATCACTTATGTTATTAGTTTATCTTATTTTAATCATTGAATCAGTAATTCTAATTAGTTTGACTATATAACGTATGTTGAGCAAGATGTGGATCTCGAAAGAACTACTGAAGAGGAGAGAGAATGATTGAGGAAGATGGGACTGAAGCTAATTAGTTACTTAAAGTTTGTTGAGGAAGATGCCCCTCAAATTTATATAACTCAATTATTTTCAGTACCTCAATCCTAAGTACAGAAGTTCTTGGCATGACTTTGATACGTATATTAGTACTATAGTCATATTATTTATAATTTAATTAATTTTTATATTTTCTAAAATATTTATTTTAAAGCGATGTATCTATAAATATTTATGGATCAGACTGAACTCAAAATCAATTATAAAAATTTTATAAGCCTAATCTGACATGTCCATAATACCCAATTTTTAATTTGAAAATAATAAAATTATAATTTTATAGTGATATTTGTATATTTTTATAATTAAATTTAAAATAAATACATAATTTAAATTATTATTAAAAAAAACCAAATTAGACCATACTAGTTATCAAACTCTATTGTTTGAATGTTGGATTAAAGCCAGCTACCTGGTTGGGCCGCCTAAATCTTTTGAATATCAAACAATTATGAATTATTTGATATTCAAATGTAAGACTAAAATTTTTTATATACAAATCTTTTATTATTTCATCAATTAGTATATTTTTTTAAATATAATTGTTTACAAAAATAGCAGTACTTTATTTTTTATTAATAAATAATAATGAATAAAACAATTAATTCTATGTAATAGTTTGAGATAATTACGTTGTATTATTAATTCAAAATCCTTTTTAGTCATTGACGACGAGCACACACCTTTCAATCGTAACTACTCGAACCCAAGACTTCTAAATAGAGTAACACTCTCTTCTACCATTAAGATTGCTCGATGAGTTCAACATAATCAATTAAAATATTTTTATATATATATTTTTATAAATTTTATTGTTTTAAAAAAATGTTTATTTTCAAAATGGGTGTGATAGAATTAGATAACTATGTTAATTTGGCCACAATTTAAAATGATATTAAAAATTAACCTCGTGCTATCGACATTAATTTAGATCCTTCATGTGCACCGTATCCGTGTATGGCTAAATTAATGCAGCTTGCTGGGTTGGTCCAATCGGTTAGGAGTCTTGCTTGGATTTAAATTTGGACGTCTTTGTCTCATTAAATTGGGAAGAAACTATCATTGTGTGTGTTTATTTTAACATATTTGAAAGATTATTAAAATTTTATTACTAATTCATTTGAAATTGAGCTTAATAGAAACGTAGAAGAAAAAGTTGAAAGAATTGCATGCATTGGTGAGTTAAATTGTCTGGACGTGGAAGAAGAAGGAGAGAGTGAGTGAATTTGATTCCAAATCCAAAGCACTAGCAAACAAATCACCACTGCTACGATTATAAAATGGAGAGAATATCCAAATTACCCAACATTAAAATATCACTGTCTGCACTCCATTGTAATTTGTCTTCTACCCTTAACAAGACAATGTCAAATAAATTGCATAAGTTTCCGAAACCACCACGCTCCATTCTTCACTAGTTTTAACCCTAACTTATTTTGTGACATCTATGCATTATTAATATAAGGGTTTCGAATCTCGGTCGCATTTTTTGTCATTTCATGTTTATCGCGATTGTGGCCATAGCCGGTGCTATTGGGCGCGATTGCGGGTGTAGCGGGTATATCGGAAGACAGCGCTACAGCTATTTCGCGGGCGATATCGCGGTCGTGGACCGTTATTTGAAACCCTGATTAATATATTGGTATTCAAATGCTATAACGATAAAACAACTGTAACGTGTGATTAAATAATTATTTTGATATCTATTATTTTTAGTATTTTGGTCCATGACGTTTTATTTTGGGATAAAAATATTTATCGTTGATGGAAATTACTAGTCAACAAACCGTTAGCACTCTAAAATAAAGAATTGTTTTTCTTAAAATGAATTGTTTGAATCAAAATACTTTTAAAAGTTAAAGAACAAAAAGACTATTTAAACAATGTTATGAATATTTTTTTACATTATGCCTATTCTAATCAATACAGATAAATATTATACTCTAAATTCGAACTTAAAGAATTATATTATTGAAAAAATTAGTCGTAAATTTGAATATGAAAGGTAGAAGATAGGGCTGTAAGTTATAACAGTGACATTCCATAAGGTGCATAAAGAATTAAAGAGAGAAGTAAAAGCTGTGTAACTTTTGAAAGATCCTCTGTTGGATGGTGAATTAACTAATTGGTCAATAGATCTGACGTCTAGGAAATATTTCTGTGATTTCCTGTTTCTGGGGAAAAGGTGAGAAGAAGCATGCATTTTGAATAAACAAGAAGAAAACTCGCCATGTTCAACAAAGCAGCTACTGGGAAACGAATTTGATCATTATAATTGTTGTTAGCGATTGTTGCAGTGAGAGAACATGGATCTGTGGTGTTACATACCACTATTTTCTTTCTTCTTCTTTATAGAAATGTAGAGAAAAACATGTTTGTTTCTTGTGAAAAAGGATCCAAAAGGAAGTACATATAGAAATTCTATACATTCAGAGTTTCATTGTTTATAACCTATATCGACACTTCCCAGACATTCTGGATCCTCCTCCACTTCAAAGAACCACAAACAACAGTTCTAAAATAGCAAAATACCATCGTTTTTCCCACCAAAACACCAGTAAGGTAAAGATGAGAAAAACGCGGGTATTTTGGATACGATTTAATCAACGAAATTCAAAAGAAAAAAAAAACAATGGAGGAGATCTAGGTTGAAAAGGGTTTTTTCTACTAGTTGTGGAGAGGGTCTGGGCAACTGGGAACTCTTCGTTTGCTTTCTTCAAATCCTTTATCGGTTCTTCCTTTGAAACTGAAAGATGTTGTTGTTCCATAGAAGTTGTTTTGAATATCTTCCATGTTGTTGCGGACCTTTCTTTCCATCATCTTTCTCATTCCATTTTCCGGGAAAATCCTGATAGCTCCAGCTAAACAGCAATCACCGCAAACCAAAATCTGTAACACATAAATCACCAACATCACCACAATAGAAGAATTCAAAACTCTCCTCCTTCTGCCGCTCAAAATCCACATAAAGTAGAACAGAAAACACTCTATTTCTAACAACAATCCAACTTGTTTCTCTAAAGAAATGCAGCTTGCTTTTTTCCTGGAATTTCAATGGGGGAGAAGTTTCAGGAGAAAAAAATGGAAAGTGACTAATTTAGGTAAGAGAATGATAGATAGATAGATAGATGGATAGGATCGGCTCATGCAACTCGCAGTGGCCCACGTGATAGAGAGAAGAAATAGAATACAACTGTGGTCTCTAAGTCTACAGGTTGTACAGTCACTGTGATGCCTAGCAATGGGTTAAATCTGAGAAGATGATTATTATATAGTACTCCAGTTTCAGCCATGGAGAGAGATTAAACACAGTATTATTGTTCCTTGACTTTTAGTCTTCATCCTGGGTAATTTATTAAGCCTTCTAGCTCCTAAAACGTAACTAAACCTAAGTTTTAGGTCTTTTTTCTTTTTAAAAAATATGCATGTCGGTGACTAAGTTTGAGGTATATTTTCTTTTATTAAAAAAGGTCTTATTTATGATTTAGCCCCTGATTTCTATCTATTTTCTCATTTTAATACGTAAACTAACATTTCTCTCAAAAAAATCAAATATAAACATGCCACATACCACGTTTTAATTGGAAGCTATTTTTAGGGGGAACTATGATAGAATTTTATTTCAAGTGTTAAAATGAGATAAAAATTAAATATCAAAATAGAAAATAGAGATATTTCAAACTAAATTATAAATTTAATCATTGGTAGAAAATAGAACCCTAATATGCATGAATATTGAAATAGTTTCGTATTTATTTTAAAATATTCTTTATAAATAAATTTTTAATAGAATTTTTTTTATTTCATCTTAGAATGATTGTAATAAAATATAGATCTATGAATTATTTGTACTTACAAAATATTAAAATTTTGATTAAAAAAACATAAAAAAAAAGTAGTGGCACATATTAATTGGTGAAAACATGGGGGAGGTAGAGGAAGTTGACCGCGAATCTCGCCATGGTGTTGGAGACATATGTGGTACATTGAAGTAGGTAACAAGGAGATGTGTCTGAAAATTGTCCGCAAGATCAAATCTAAAGTATCAAATTACCAGACTTTGATGCAATCTTGTGATTTTTCACTTTGAAAAACCCAAAAACACTTTTTTCAAGTTGGTACCTTTAATGTCTCAATTTCAAAATGTTTAGTCCTCTAATTTTATTTTATACTTTTATTTATTAACGTAAGAGTTGCTGAATTATTAATAATAACTTAAGTTTCTCTTAAATCTTCAAATAATATTAGAATCTAAAAATTTACAAGTAGGGAAGGAAGCTAGATTATATATAAAGGGTAAATGTATAAAATTTTAAGGAATGAGTTTCAAATATTTAAGAATATAAATTTATAAAATTTTAGGATAAAAATAAATTATTAATAAAAATATATATTATATAAAAGATTATATAAAAATATAAATTATATATTAATCTCAGACATGGAGTTTGTGTGTGAGGGAAGTTGGTCTAATAAATCAGCGACAGCTGTCATTTTACCTTAGTCATCACGAAATGACCCATCCTCCCTCACTGTATACTTTGACCACCAACTTCCCTACGTTAATAAATGGATACAAAATGGGGAGTTTTGTTGTGTGGCAGATTAAGATGCGGTTAAAAAAATGTCGAAAAGAAATACAATCTAGAATGTGATAAAAAAAACACGACAATTTAAGTTGGATGCAACTTAGAATGTGACATTCTAATATACCAGACTCAGTTTTCCATATGAAACAAGTTGCTAATATTTCTCCCACAAAGTTCCTGTGGACTATCACTAGGCCAAGCCATGGCCAAGATCCGAAATAAAGCACCAAGGCTTACGCCAGTATGCATTTCTTTGATCTTTACGTACATAATTCTCTGCAATCAATCGCTTTATCAGTGTCCTTCCATTAACACCGAGCATTCATTACCTGCGGCATACCATCACTAGAAAAGCACGAACATAATAAGTACAGTTGTTTATTATAATGATTAATGTCAATCGGAACTCACTATAAACAATAAGCGAAACTCATCTTCCTAGACCCTTTAATTGAGTAGTTTTAATCTTATGCGTAACCAGTCATCCCAACAGTTGGATTCGTGCGATTTGCCTTGTGAGCTGGCGTTGTGGTGGTTGCCTTGGTGAAATTCATGTAGTAGTAGTACACGTTGAGAACCATTGTCGCGACCACAAACACCGCTGCAGCAATAAAGACGCCTTTCCTCAATGTTTCGCAGGAGAAATTCTGGGCATAAATCATCCCACGATACTTGGTGTGATAAGCGTTCCTTGTTGCACCCGCTATTAGACATGCTTCTGCAACCAAGAAAGTCAACCTGCAAATGCAGGCGAATGAAATAACTGAAATCTCGAAATAAGCAGGATACACGGAAGGTAAGCCTGAATAAAAATTTGTATATGATATTAAGCAGGATACACGAAGTGAGCAGAATGCGTCATAGAGTCTGAGCAAGAAAGACGATCAACGAGATTAAAAAATAAATCATATTGGCCAAATGGTAGAGAAGGAAGTAATATGGCATATCATCACTCAAATTTCATTAAAACAGGAAGGCAAGGAGTGTAGAGATGAGGACCACCATAAAGAATGATGGCTTATGAACATAATACGGTATGCAGGCCCGAAATACTTACCACGATGAAACAAAATAGATGATAGACCAAGCTCGGTCACTACCCGGCGCTAATGGTCTCCCAAAGCACATGCACTTCGTAACTCCCATCAACAGGGATTCACCTGAAAGAAGAAACAAGAAAGCACCTACTCCATAGCCAGTGGCGACATCCGAGTTGTAGACACAATACGTAGAATTTGATATGTTATCTTTAACGACTGTGCCCTACAATGCGGTTAAGTAAAGGTTAAAAGTTCATAAATAAATTCAATGTAAATGGCTTAGGCACATAAAATATCTCCAAGAAAAGAGGTTGAAAGTTGCCAATTACAGAGTCATATCCAACCCTACCGCCTTACAAAATAAAACAACTACATAAGTAGAACTAACCCTAAACCCTAATCCTTAAACTTTGAACCTAAACAAAACTTAAAAGCCGCTCAATTTTCAAACCATTTCAACAAAAGATATTAAGTGCTAATCATTGTGGTTCATCATAGGTAATCATGCACGTCAAATTTTCCGCCTTATAAAGAAACTGCACTAGTTATTACTGCATAAAAAAGGTTGAAAGAAGCACTATATTGAAGCACATGGCTTTTGAAGCATGTTGAAGTATATGTCACTAGTTATTCTGTTATTCTTCCTTGTTTAAATGTGTTTACTATATAGTCAACCAAGGGCCATTGACAGGGGAGGAGGGCAGTAACACGTTCTATTAGAAATAGTAGATCTTCATTAACATATTCTACATGTGGAATCCTCGAATAAAGAAATAGTTGCAGAGAATCTGAGCTTCAAACATAACATCCTAGCAAAACCCAGCAAGAATTCACTCTAAAAACCCACAAATCTCTACATATCACACCTCAAAAAAGCCTAATTTCCTTATGAATTAAAACATCAAACACAATACACATAAGCACTAAAACAAAGATGACAAAGAGAAACAAAAAGAAAGACAGGAAATTAAAAGGAGCGTTTTAGGTATCTTAAGTAAAGCTTAAAAGAGTTGAAGAGAGAAAAAAGGGGCTTACAACGCTTCTTCTTCTCTCAGCAGCAATGGCGAAGCCGAATGCGACCAAGCTGAGGACTACCACCAGAAGGTGGACGAGGGTGGAGCCCTTTCCTTCTCCCATCTCCGGCGGACACTGAAAGGGTGAGAAGAAAGATTGAGAAGTGTTTGTGGGGGGGGGGGGTAGCCTCGTTTGTTTAGCTACTAATGTGAAGTTGGGGGAAAGCAAAAGGTGTGAATTGTAGCAAAGCAAAAGTGTTTTCTTTGACTTGTGAACACTGTAGTAGAAGGCAGTGAAAGGCTATTTCTTTTTCTTCTCAAAAGTGTCAACTTTTAGACCCACGCCTATTCTCCTCGTCGCGGACGTACGCGCCATTCAGTATCGATCTTAGTGATTGGATTATGGAATTCAAGATTGGTGAATTTTTTTTCAGATTCAAATTCTCACGTTTGTATGAGAAATATTCTTAATAGGGAGTAATAAAATATTTTCAATAGTAATTTGTTTTTTCTTGTCACAGGAAATGCTAGTTGCATGCTTTTCTTAGGAATTTTTTTCTTTCCTATAATCTTTTGTTTTTACAAATTTATTTCAAAAATTTATTTTCACAAATTATCATAACTTTTTAAATATTAATTAAGTTTAAAAGAATATATGGTATATTTACTCTTTTAATATGTCCATTTATCTTTTAAATATTGTAAAAAAAATTATGAATTTAAATTTAATAAAAAATATATAAATTGAAAATAATACAATAATATATTTTTTATGAATTTTTATATAAATATTTTCATTTAAATATATGGAATTCAACTTGTTAAAAAAATATCATAAGGACAATTTAGTAAAATATACATTCCAGTAATCTTTTATTCCTTTAACCAAACACTGTAATCATACATTCATGTCAAAAAACCAAACACAATAACGTAACATTCCCGATAATGTGTAAGGTAATATAATATTCCGGTAATCTTATTTCCGAAGGTAATCTTACATTCTATGAACGAAATTAAAGTTCTTTAAGAATTTAAATTTTAGGGTAAAATACATAAATGATCACCAAACTTATAGGAAGCTTGCATTTTGGTCATATAACTTTTAAAACTTGCAATACAATTACCAAAATTTTAGTTTATTTTCAATAAGGTCTCTAACGTTATCTACTATTAGTTTTATATGATGTAGCACGTTACTGTTATTTTTTTAGCTTAGTAAAAAAATTTAAAAAATCTCAAACGACGCCATATAAAATTTGAAAAAAGTTAAAAGGGTTTAAAACTCTTTAACCAATCAAATGACTTAGATAAATTAAGTTTAATTTGGATTTTCTGATTTAGGATTTTTCTAGATTATCGACTGCTAGTGGATGAAAATGAGGGGAGAAAGACTCGATTGAAGGTTTTTCAAGTGTGATGAACGATAAATTGTTATTTCTGATGTATTTGGAAAATTTATTTTTGATTTGATTCATATGTTACTGAAGTTTGTTTAAATATTTTGGAATCTGAAATTGAGAGATTTTTCATATTCTAAAATTACTATTTGTCATATTGAATGTGATTTTAGTCCCAATAGGGTTTAAAAAAGATTGAGTTGTAATTGATTTTGGATTTTAGTCTCAATTTGATTTTTAGGGTTGTCACTAAATTTTGAGTGAGGAAATTTTTTTACTAAGCTAAAATGAATTAAAATGATTATTTTATCAAGCTAAAAAATAACATAAGCGATCAAACAAAACTAACGAGAGGTAACGTCAGGGACTTTACTAAAAACGAACTAAAAGTTCGATGACTTTATTACAAATTTTAAAAGTTAGGTGAGCAAAATGCAAGTTCCCTATAAGTTAAGTGACAATTTATGTAGTTTGCCCTAAATTTTAAATATTTTACCATTTTTATATTAAGACCACACAAGTGTCACGCCTCCAGCTCTAGGGTGGAAGGTGAAATACTTTCACAGCCCATAATGTGAAAACAATTCTTTGAAAAACTACATGCTATTTACTCAGAAGCCGGTTCGGATGATGATGATGATGCAGCCCTCTTCTTGGCAAAGTATTCGTCGGCTCGAGCAAGGTTCTTTGTGTTGGGAAATAAACAGAATACGAGTAATTTCCCTATAATTGGATTAGTGAGAATACAAAATAAAAGCGGAAAAATAATACCCGAAATTTATAACGGAGTTCAGCCAATTTTGCTTACGTCTCTGGACTGCTACCGATCTTTTACTAAGAGAGAAAATTTAAAGGTGTTTACAAAACACTCACTACTCACAAGAAAACTCTTTAGTATTAGGAGAAAGAAAATGATTTTGGGATGGTTTTGAAGCTAAATGAGCTAGGGTATTTATGATTGAAGCTTAAGGACTTAATCTTGTAAATACCCTAAAGTCTAGAGATTAATTGTGATTATCTCATTATCATTTTTCAACAAACATCTACCAAACTTTGAAAAACTATTTTTCAAAGAAACATTTACCAAACTTTGAAAAACCATTTTCAAAAAAACATTTACCAAACTTTGAAAATCATTTTTTCAAAGTTGGTTGCCAAACTTTGAACTTAACTTTTAACAATACTTTCAACAATCTCCCAATTGAAGACTGATTTTAATCTGTCTTCACACCTCGATCAATGCAGCAACATTTCTGGTCCTGTTATTCTAGCATGCCAACTGAAGTTGAACACAACTTCAGTTTGTCAGTGGTCACCGTCTTTGTCAACATGTTTGCCGGATTTCGAGCTCCACTAATCTTTTCAAGCTTCAAAATCCTATCTTTCAGAAGAGACCGCATAAAATGATATCTCAATTGTATGTGCTTTGTCCTGGAATGAAAATACGGATTCTTTGCTAGATGAATAACACTTTGATTGTCGCAATACAAGACATTGTTTTCTTGTTTCTTGCCTAAATCTTCCAAGAAACTTTAGAGCAAACCATCTCCTTGTTGGCTTCCGTAACAGCGACATATATTCTGCTTCAGTTGTGGAGAGAGCAACTACCTTCTGTAGTTGAGAAACCCAACTCACTGCAGTACCTCCTAGAGTATAGACATACCCTGTAGTGCTCCTTTTGATGTCAACATTTCCAACTAAGTCAGCATCTACATAGCTTGTCAGTATCGTATCTCCACATTTGAAACAAAGTTCTTTGTTTGTAGTACCCCGCAGATATATGAGGATCCATTTGACAGCTTCCCAGTGTACTTTGCCCGGATTATTCATGTACCTGCTAAAACTCCCACTGCTTGAGCAATATCTGGTCTAGTACAAACCATGTCATACATCAGACTTCCAATTGCTGAGGCATACGGCACCTTCACCATGTGTGCACGTTCTTCCTCCGTCTTTGGTGATTGTTCTTTGGAGAGTCTAAAATGAACACCTAAATGTGTACTTACTGGTTTAGCATCTTGCATGTTGAACCTGGAGAGTACTTAGTTGATGTACTCAGTCTGTGATAACATCAAAGTCCCTGACTTTGTGTCTATCTTGATCCTCATCCCAAGAATCTTCTTTGCAGCGTCCAGATCTTTCATAGCAAACTGCTTTGATAATTTTTGCTTCAAGTTTGCATGTCTGAGCCTGCAACGAGTATGTCATCAACATACAACAATAAAATAATGAAGCTGTTGTCGAACCTCTTGATGTAGCAACAATAATCTACTTGGGCATCTGGTAAAACCACTGCTACTCATGAAGTTATCAAACTTCTTGTACCACTGTCTAGGAGCTTGTTTTAAACCATACAAGCTCTTCTTCAACCTGCATACCAGGTTTTTCTTGCCTACCTCTATGAAGCCTTCTGGCTGCCTCATATATATTTCTTCCTCCAAATCACCATGAAGGAAAGCTTTCTTTACATCTAATTGCTCAAGGTGTAAATTTTCTACAGCTACAATTTTTGATGCAGGGGGATCCGAGATAGATGATGCTGAGCTGTCAGATTGCACGTTGATGGCGCTGAGATACCATGAGTTGGCAGATCAGTGCAAAGGCGGGAATTGATTGTGACATGTTCCTCATTGGGGTCGTTTTGAGTATGTTTCAGTCTTTTGGCCATAACTTTGGCTACAGGTGTCAGAATCGCGCATAAGACCCCAATCCGGAAAGCTCTTTTCGACGCGCACGCTCTCCACATTGAGCTATGCTCCATGTGGCCTTTTTTTCAACCTCAAATTCTGCCGTTTTCCCCTCCGAATCACTAGATTTAGTTATTTTTTACTATTTATGGAAATATTTCGATTGTTAATTAGGAAGTCAATTTAAATCCGATTTAGGCCGGATTTTTGGGAGATTGCTTATTTTATTTCGAATTTCAATTTAGAGTGATTTTCGGGATTTTGCTATTTTTGGCAAAATTCGAATAAAGACGATTTTTTTGCTATAACAGTCCGGCTTGTGGACTGCTTTTTGCATTGTTGGATTTTATAATATTTTATTAAACCCTAGAGATTTTTTTTCTCTGTTTTTTGGGCGAATTTTCTCTTGTGAATCGTCTGTCGGAACTAGCCTACAGGATAATCACTATTCTGTCTGGCGTCAATTTTCAACACCAGTCTGATTGTAGACAATTTTACGACTGGAGAGAAAATTTCATTTTAGTCAATACCTTCTTTTTGCTGAAAGCCTTTGACAACCAATCTTGCTTTGTAGCGTTTGCTCCCATCGTGCTCTTCTTTGATCCTGTAAATCCACTTGTTATGAAGCGCTTTCTTGGCTGGTGGTAATTCAGCTAATTCCCACGTCTGATTTGACATAAGCGAGTCCATCTTATCTTTCATGGAAGACTCCCACTTGACTGAATCCTCCACCTGTATTGCTTCATCATAGCACTCTGGTTCACCATTGTCAGTCAGCAACAAATAGTGCAAAGAAGGCGAATAACGCTGGGTTGGTTTAGGAATTCTGGAGGAGCGTCTTAGTTCTGGTGTGCATGGTTCTTCTTGAACTGCTTTAGGACTGATCTGAACATCATTTCCAGAAATCTCCTCAAACTCAGCAAATTCCTTTGTTTCAGCTTCGATATTTGAGCTACTTGATTCTATGGTTGGCATGTCTTTGTATATCACATTCTCATTGAAAATGACATCTCTGCTTCTGATGATCTTCCAATTTTCATAGTCCAAAAATCGGTAACCGAACTCATCACCACCATAACCAGCAAAGGCACATTTGTTGAACTTAGCATCAAGTTTACTTCTTTCAGAAGAGTCTATGTGTACATAAGAAATACAACCAAACACTCTTAAGTGTGAAAGGTTTATTTCTTTCTTGCTCCAAACTTCCTCCGACATTTTACCATCCAAGGGAACTGAGGGCCCACGGTTGATTAGGTAAGCTGCAGTGTTGATAGCTTTAGCCCATAGAAATTTGGGCAATTCGGCATGTATCCTCATGCTTCTGGCACGTTCATTCAGAGTTCTTTTCACGCGCTCCGCTACGCCATTCTGTTGCGGTGTCATGGGAACTGTTGTCTCCATCTTGATCCCATTATTTGCGAAGAAATCTCTAAATCTTCTATTTTTGTACTCTCATCCATTTTCAGACCTCAACCGCTTGACTTTCAAACCAGTCTCATTTTCCACCATGGCCTTTCATTTTTTGAAGGTATCAAAGACTTCTGATTTATTCTTCAGAAAATAAACCCACACCTTCCTTGTAGAATCATCGATGAAGGTGACATAATACAATGAGCCTGCAAGAGATGGAATTGGAGATGGTCCCAATACGTCAGTATGAACCAACTCTAACTTTTCTTCCTTGGGTGTCTTGCCAATCTTTGCAAAACTGACTTTCTTTTGTTTGCCAAAGATGCAATCCTCGCATAGTCCGACATCTACACTCTTTAGATCCGGCAACTTCCCTTTTGACAAAAGTGTTTTCATCCCTTTCTCGCTCATATGTCCAAGCCTTTGGTGCCATAGGTTTGATTTTCCATCAGCATCTATTACTACAATGATATTCTCTAAATTTGAGGTTACATAGAGAGTATCAGTCTTCTTACCACGAGCAATGACAAGTTCTCCTTTGGTAATCTTCCATTCACTTCATGAAAAGGTTGTGTTATATCCTTCTCCATCAAGTTGTCCTATAGAAATCAAATTTCTTTTAAGGCCAGGAATATGTCTTACTCCTTTCAGCGTCCAGGTGGTCTGGTTTGGCAACTTTAATCGGATGTCTCCTTTTCCGACGATCTTTAAGGTTTCATCATCAGCTAGATGAACCTTACCAAAATCACCACTGCCATAGTTCTCCATGATTTCTCGGCATGGGGTGGAGTGGAAAGATGCTCTTCAATCCAAGATCCATGATTCAATCGGACTGTTGACGCTTAGAATCATGGCATCACCTGTATCTTCTATCACGTTGGCATATTCCTGTGTGCCGATATTTTTCTTCAGTGCTCGGCAATCTTTTTTAAAGTGACCCTTCTTGCCGCAGTTATAACAGGTAAAATCTTTCTTTCCTATTCTTGATTTTCCCCTTCTGGATTTGGATCTGCCACGATTTGAATTTCTTTATGAGGTTCTCCCTCTGGACTCCGTGTGCAAGGCTGAGGAGGTTGATGCTTCACCCGATTCTCTCCATCGAATTTCTTCGCTTAGTACTAGATCCTGAACATCGTCGAATTTCAATTTACTATTTCCCGACGAGCTGCTAACTGCTGTAACAGTAGCATTCCAACTATCTGGTAGAGATGATAAGAGAATTAAAGCTCGAACTTCATCATCGAATTCAATTTCCATGGAACTCAATTGGGTTGTGATTGTGTTGAGTTCATTTAGGTGTTGAGCCACTGATGCCCCTTCCGCCATCCGCAAATTGAACAATCGTCTCATTAAATGAACTTTGTTTGAGGCCGATGGCTTCTTATACATACTGAAGAGAGCCGCCATAAGACCTGCCGTTGTCTTTTCCTTTTCTATGTTGAAAGTAACATTGCGAGATAACGTCAGTCGGATAACTCCGAGGGCTTGTATGTCGAGAAGAGCTCAGTCTTCATTTCTTCATGCCCTCTGGTTGCTTTCCTGAGAGAGGTTGATATAGATTTGATAAAATCGCCTCAGTGACCAAAATT